CCGGGTTTATGGGTATTTGTCGTTTCTATATGTTTTATAATTATAGTACGATCAGTACCCGTAATCTTGGAAGGGTTCAATCATCTGGAGCTTTCGCCGAATCATTCAGTTATTATCATTAAGTCATGAGATCGACGAAAAAAAAATCATTTTTCCGGGTTTATGGGTATTTGTCGTTTCTATATGTTTTATAATTATAGTACGACCAGTACCCGTAATCTTGGAAGGGTTCAATCATCTGGAGCTTTCACTTAATCATTCAATCATCATCAGTGAATCCCTGCGACATTATCGAAAGAATGGAATTAATTTTTCTGAGCTTATGGGTACTCTCCGGTTCTGTATGTTCTATAAATATAGTACGATCAGTACCTGTAATTTCAGAAGAGTTTAATCATCTGTAGCTTTTACTGAATCATTCAGTCATTATCATTGAATCACTTTTTTCAGGATTATGGGTTCTGTCCGTTCTGTATGTGATATAAATATAGTACGATCAGTACCCGTAATTCTGGAAAAGTATTAAATCATCTGGAGCTTTAATTCATCTATCATTTCACACTCGTCAGTACTCGTCGTTCTTATATGAATTTTAATTATAGTACGACCAGTACTGGGAAGCGTGAAAAATGATACCACATCATTGACCTCCACATCATTATTTATCAATACATTATTAACCATTTTTATTTAATCAAGGGACAATCCACGTAATTTTCCCATTTTTTTAATTCAATTGAGTTCCGATGAATGTTTACGCTCGGGAAAACTCAATTGCTTTCTGTCCTCAGACCTGCCAGTACTGATCGTTCCTATATGATTTAATAATTATAGTACGACCTGTACCGGCAGGTGTGAAAAAACTTCATCACCATAGGTCAACATTCAATCATAAATCATTTAAATATTTTGAGTAATTCCATAAATCAATATGGTATCACTAAAAAGTATAAAATTTCTTTCATAATCTTCCTCAGAATCCAATCGAAAAATGGAGACTTCTCTTCTGGATGGGAGCGTCTGTTTGCATCTCCTGCATGGCGATATTCATCGTCGGTGGCAGTGGAAAAGTCCAGAGTTGGAACGAATTGAAACCGAGAGAGGAAGAAGCAGGTGGAAGTCGCAAATAATCAAAAATCTCTGGACAACGATTACGATACAATTTTGATGAATGAATTTTCTAAGAGCATTTCCTGTACTATTTCCACTGAAAAAAAAATGATCTCCACAATATCATTCAGGAAGCGTTGAATTATATCCAACGAGCTTTACATAACGAAAAGTACAAATGTACAATTATGGTGCAATACTTGAGACGAGTGCGTGCATGAAGGACAAATGCTCACTCATATCCTCCGAACTTTTCTCCAATTAAATTATTTATTGAAGCTGACAGAATAAAATTGGTTGGGATTTATTTAATCCGCATTGTTATCACTGGTTTAATTCTTAAATTTAATTAATTAGGTGAGAATGAGACTCATGCTTTTGGCGCAGGTTTTACCAACGAGTTTCGCGTACAATTTAACTTTTTCGACGTCGTCCCTTTCGCCCTTCAGATGTCGAATTTTCTGCACTTCTCCGTATAATTTGAGGCTTTCACCTCGATACAAAACCCGAACCTGCATGACATAAGTGTTAGATAATCTGTAGTAAAAAGGTAAAGGGTGACAAGTTGATTTTCTGTGACATTAACCTGTCTGATATCCTCTGCACTCATTTCGCCATCCTCGTCGAGTGCATAGACGTCTTCGTTGAGCCTCGAGTATTTTTGTCTGTCCAATTTTGGGGTACATTTCGCGATTGGATGCCACGTGTACGTCTCAGGACACAGGAGAAAGGAGGGCGTCATTTTAGCTTTGTACCTCATCTTCGGGATTTCGTGGATGTAGTAGCCCATGTAGTAGTATTTCAAATCTGATGCCGACTTGTATAGCTCTCGAACCAGTCGAACTTCAATCAAAGAGCTGCAAATTCATGTTTCCAGAAAATATTTATTCTGTAATTATTCGAGTTTCTTCGAGAGTATTGCAACATTGCAACGAGAAATTTTGTCATTTTTACCTGAAAGTTCCAAGTGAAAGAAATGAATATTCAGGATCATAAAAGAGGTAAACACTGGAGACGCAGTAGGGCAAGATATCGATGACTCCGACAGCTATTAATTTTCCATTGAGACGATATTGTTGGTGGAAGGGACCGTACCCCATAGGTGGGCCTCGTCTGACGCTCCGGTGCTGCAGTCAAAGAAGCAAAAATAAAAACTCATCAATACAACAAACTTTCGTCATCATTAAATAAATAAAAGAATAAATTCAATAGAATATTTTGCAGAGAAAGCTTCAGGTTTTTATATCAATTTCGTTTTACTCGCATAAGACTTACTATCAGTCGACTTGGCCCCAAGAAATTGCTGAATGACTTCTTAGTTTGATCCTCAGGTTTATCATGATGCACGGCCTCTTGATATTTTTTAAATAGCTTGAAGCTCTCGTCAAAAGTATTATAGAATTCCTCAGAGGATACTCTGATTAATTTAATTTCTAGCTTGTTCTGTCCATCCTCTACAGTAGAAAGGAGTTCCTCGATGGACTTTGCGCCAGTAGGCATCTTTTTTTTTCTGTAGAAGTCCTCAATTTCCTCCAGAGTCTTCCCCTGCGCCAGCAGGCGACTCCTAGCTCTTTCGATGCGCATCAATTTTTTTTTCCTCGGCATTCCGTCCCGATTTGGTGGGATTTCTGTCGGTTGAGAAAGTTTTGAGGGGACCATTGGGTGTGATGGAGGGCTATCGTGATCCTGGCTAGACTCTCTCTTAATTTTTGACTTGATGACGTCTTCAGGGCACTGGGATAATCTCTTCTCGCAGTTGGTGGCGAGCATCATTGGCTCGTTCTGTAGGATATTCTTATGAGCACGTGCCGAGTACTCCGCGAATTCTTCCTCTGGAAGTTCGGCATCTGGAGGAAAAGAATTATAGAGTCACAAAATTTTTTTTAAAGCAGTTCGAAAAAAAATAATAAATTTTTACTAGAACACGCGCCAATCCCATGTAATTCATCCTTATCGGATTTCTTCTTCGTCCTACTCTCCTCCTCAATCATCCTCTCGCCGTCCTTCAAGAACTTTGTCATTCTCTTGATAATTATCTTCTGGGACTTCGAAACCACAAAGTCCAACGCATTGCATCTGCAGTACAATAAAATTTCCGAATGACAATAGCATTTCAATATAATGTTTTATTGCAAATTTTAATCTGATTAAAAAATATCCTTTTCGATAATTTGTTCATCTGTTTTCTATCGCCATTTTCATCTCCATTACAATTTACAATTTAATTGAAAGTATTAATATAATTCAAGTTCATGAAGTTAGAAATTTGTTTATAAATACATTAAAACCACTAAAAGTGTAATAAATAAATGGTGTATAAATAAATTGAATGAGAAAATGAGAAAGTTTATTTTTGTGACAATGATTTTCCGTGTAATTAAAAAATTGTGAAGTCACAAAAATATTGGAAAAACAGTTTAATAATTAAAAGTACCTGATGGTGTACATTGGACAGCAGGTTTCGATATTTCTAGGTATGTAACAATAACGTCCACTTCTTCTCCATCCTCTGTCAATCAGACTTTGGTAATTATCCACAGTGAGAGATTCGGCCCACATGCCTAGAATAATTTCGGTTTTCTCCTCTGAATTTTCAAGTGGAAGAAGGACTTTTCCGACAATTTAGTCTTACCATCGCGCTTGTAGCTGCTCTTTTTTTCGCAATATCCACAGGCATGTTTTATTGTTCCACTGTCATAGAGATATTCAACAATACTTAATTCGTTCGAAGCCATTGCAGTGATTTAATTATTTGTTTATAATATCATGATCCTCATGAGGACAAACTGATTATTGTTGTCACAGGAATTATATTACCACTTGTTAACCTCGCGAAAAAATGAAAATAATAATAACTTTGTGGTTCTGGAGGGAGAAGAAAAATGGAGGACGTTTTGCCATGAGATGAGATTTGCTGAGCTACGAGAGCACTAAATTCAAAATGTCATATATAAATAAATTTCTCATCGAAACATTGAATTATCGCATATTATAAACTTTAATTGTTATTTATTGATAACCTATTGACGATTTCTCGAATTCTTCTTGAGAAAAATTTGGAGATCAGGGGAGGAATTCTGCGCGTTTTATGTTAACATGAAATCTCATTATTTCGCTCCCGTCAGGTGGAGCGCAGGCTTTATTTATGTCACATTTCAATCGGTTTTGGAACGTTTGTTTGGTGCGTAATAAGGGGAGGGATGAGAAATACAGTATGGCCGCCGTGCGTTCAACTTAGTGCTCCAAAATGAACAAATAATTAGAAATTGAAATGAAACTTGAGAAGAAACAAGTTGGCATCGCGTTATTATTATTAAAGTACTCAAAATCATTTTCAGCTCTCAAAGTAGTGGATTTATGAGGAGCTGCGAAGCATAGGGGCTCGGTTCCGAATTAGGTCCGCTCTTCATTTTTGAAACTGGGCATAAAAGCGCGGGGCGGCCATACTGTAATTCTTATCCCTCCCCTCATTATTCGCCAAACAAACGTTCCAAAACCAATTGGAAATACGACATAAATAAAGCCTGCGCTCCACCTGGCGGGAGCGAAATAATGAGATTTTATGTTAACATAAAACGCGCAGAATTCCTCCCCAGAACGAATTGACTTCTTGTTTTTCACAAACTAGCGCCGCCCCTCCCGCTAAACCGACCGGGACTTTGAGGACACCAAAGAGGATTGACTAAGGTAGAGACTCAGTTCTGGGGGATGGAGTGACCCCAGCGGCATCGTAGTATTGCACCCCAAGAGAGGGAGGGCGTATAACGCCTTCTCCTCATGCGCATTTCGTCCCCACCATTCAGCGATTTCTGGCGGTTACATTTGAATGCCAGTCGAGTCCTTTGATTTTTTTTCTTTCAAATTGACATGAAAAAAAAAGGTATGGCATAAAAATTGTCGACAAAAGCATAAATGAACAATGGGTATATGATTATTTTAATACGAGAGATTCTTCCCCGGTATTGACTATTTTTTCATAAATCAAGTAATTAAAGTGAAACTCTTTCCACGTCACCCAAGAGGTAGAGTCCCTGACGCGTTTTTTTTAAAGTGGTATCCCCTGTAGGCCTAATCCACTAAGTCAATGGGTGGGAAATTGAAAAGGAAAAAAAAAATAATTTGAGAACCTGAAATCAAAAAAGAACCATGACATTTATTAATAATAAATAATTATGAATTAATAATAAATTTATCAATTTCTATGGATATTCTAGCTGAATTGTCGATGTTGAATCATCTCAGCAACACTGATGTGGGAGAAATATTGAACGATGATGGAAGATTCGAGGAAGTTGGCAATTACATAAAACATGTGAATTATTTATTCGATGACAATAAATGGATAATAAGGCGGTTGTCTCATTATTTTCTTGTCTTATTATTAGATATGCGACTTACTTACTTTTCGTGAGGTTTTCTAATTTAAAGAATTGGAATCTGAAAAGAAAGTTCTGATCGCTGGAAATCGTTCTCTGGCCGAAGTCAATCTAGCAAAGCAACCCCAACTCGAGGAGAATAAAAAAGCATTACATGAACTGTCTGAGACAGGCTGTGAGCTGCTGCTGAAATTGAAAAAGAATCGGAAGTCATTATTTAAGCAATTATATAAACAATTATCAAATGATAATTGTGATTTTTATTTGTATTCTCCTTCGTGTCGAGAAAATAGCTGAGAAATTCTTATCGGGAGATACAGAAGTCGATGAATTCCTGGATCAATTCTTCACCCGAAGAAAGATAATGCATTTACGAAAGGTGAAGGTAGACAAAATGCGAGAGCTGAAGAGGAAACCGAAATCGTCAACAGGGGTTATCCAGCAGTGAACACCTTTCGCCGCCCAAGTTTTCTTAAAGCTATTTCCATAATGTGGATCAAAATAATTCCCACGATAGCCCTCATCTCAGACACCAAGACAAAAGACTACATCGTAGGCTTCACGAACCTCGGAAATTGCGACGATTTTTCCACAGAGATGATGGAGTGGAGAATAGCCCAGTCTGGTGCAATATCATACACTGGTGACCTGTTGAATCCACCAGAAAAGGGAAAGAAGCCGTCTGATCTACTCTTTGGAAACAAGAAATCAAAAACAATTCGAGGCAGAACTAATTCTAACGACAGTGGTTCTGATAACGAATGATTTATTCTCATTCGATCGAATTTTCCTAGTTATTCTCATACCTTTTTGTATTATTATTATTTTTTTTACGCCACGCACACTGATAAAGGATAAATTACAAATTGAATCAATCTGATCGAACACAATAAACATTTATTTATGGGTTTTTATTGAATCTTTATTTGAGTTATAAATACCTTCAGCCCTCCTCATAAGTAAAAACTGAAATATAAAAATATTTCATCAGAAATATTATGGAATTAACTTTTACATGATCTGTATACAGAAATAAATTTATAGTAGTTTTTAAAAAGTACACTATCCACTATGGGTCGAATTTAAACATTATTACCACACCCTGAAAAGACACAAAACATTGGCTTTTAAAATTGTATTTAATTGGTACATACTGCGAGTATTAGGCTATGGTGTATTTATCTGGATATATGAAAGTATTTTTGAATGAACCTTTTTGTTTAGACTCATTTCAGCTCGTTTTTTTCTGCCTCGTCGATGACTCCCTGTACCTTTCAACGAATTAACAGTTATTAAAAAAATATTTACAAATTTGTCAGTGATGTTTACTTGATTTACTTCAATAATAATTTAATATCGTACTTACCGTTTTGGGCGGAGATATAAAATACGACGTAAATTTAAGGCCCGGATGGATTATCTGGAAAATATAATTTACTCCGAAATTTGGACTGCTAGTTACTCCGGAAATTAATCGTTTTTTCCAATAATTGTTAGCTAGCACCGTAGCGATTGTCAACAACTAGAGCGCTAGCTAACAATTATCGGAAAAATCGATTAATTGGTGGAGTAATTAGGAGTGCCAATTTTGGAGTAAATCATCTTTTCCAGACAATCCAACCGGGCTTTAATTCCAATTTTAAAATGCGGCGCTCCAGCGTAGTCAATCACTTGTTTATACACACACTCGCGATTTATCTGATGGAGCCATATCTAGAGGCATCTCGACATCAGCTGATCGAGAGAAAAAATCATCTCGAAAATTCAAACTCCCGAACCGATCACGAAAAAATCCACGGAACGGATACGATATATCCGGCGGCGCTAGTTAATAAATAAATTTCACTCACCGGCGTTGGATGAAAATAAATCCGCTTTCAATTTTCACCTTTCGAACGTCTTACCTTAACTGTAAACATAAA